TCTATTCTTCCACGTAATATGTCCTATATATTCCTATACTTCGTATTAAAGTTTAACCATAGCTTGGCACATTGTTCGATGAAGTATTCCTTCAACATTGAAATGAAAGAGCATTACTCGAATGTTTTTAAATCTGACTTCTTCTCGAAAACATGAGACTCGACTTAACCACACTAAAATACGTCACTGTTGAATACATTATAATATTATATATTTTGTTGTTCATTTGACTACGATATTCGTAAAAATATATTTGAAAATATTTTTAAATCTTGGAATATGTAGATTTTATAAGGTTTTATAATATTTCTGCATGGTCCCACACAAATGAATTATTTCATAATTTTGAATTCATATTACAATGATAAATATAATACATACACATTAATATACCAATATGCTCTTAAATTATAATCACTTTAAATTATGATCAAATATGTATATTTTATTTATTCAATTTGTCTAAGTAAATTGAATAATATACGCAAAATTTCAAATGCAATAAAATTTGTTTAATATTGAATTGCATTAAACAATAAATAATTTTCTGAAAATATTTAATTTCATAATAACAGATTTTAATAAGAAAAAAATGTTTTAATTTCACAATGTATTCGATATAAAAATGTTTATATTAATTCGAAAGAATATTGAAAATTACTAAATGTGAAAAATAAATTATTTATATAATTTTATATTTTAAAATAAATGTTATTTCATAAGTAACTTCATATTTATTATAAACATTATAATTTATTCAAGTGATTTTTATAACATTTATTTTATTAAACTTAAAATAGTATTATTACTTGTGTACATCATAAGCATAAGTGTATATCATAAAACATTTGACTTATAGTTTCTATATATGTTTTTGTATGTATTTCTATATGTGTTTTTGATACATGTCGCTCAAACAACAAAACAAAAATATGACAGATATTAAATAAAGAAGAAAGAAAATTTTTTAAAAATCAGACCCACTGGTGAATATAGCTGCGAGTTTTACATTTATAAAATAAAAATCAGATTACTACATAGAAGCTTAGGTGAAAAGAAATAAAAAATTTATGTATTGCATAAATGATGAGATAAATTTTTAAAATCTATAATTTATTTATAAATTTTACATACATACATACACATACACATATACACACACATATATATATATATATACATATATATATATATATATATATACATATACACATGCGTGTGTGTGTGTGTGTGTGTGTGTGTGTGTGTGACTTTGTGATCCATTTATAATTAGATTAAAATATTCTACGTAATATTTATATATATTTTTGTGCTTTATGTTTTTATCTGTATAAAATTTTGTAAATTACTGAAATTCGAATAGGTTTTTTTTATAATATTTCTTCAACATTATTTCAAATTCTGGAATTAAATTTTACTTCACATTATAATTATCATACAATTATTGTGTGCTTCCGTTACTTAAAGTTTCATTATATTTATCACAATGTAATGTAAAATATATAAAAATATATAAAAAGTATACTATTTTGAACTTATTATTCAATTACATTCAAAGTTTATATAAGACTAAATTAAAAATATTTTGTTTCTCTATTATTTAAATCAATCGTGTTTTACATAACTTATGAGTTATTAATTATATATACGAGAAAGTTTTAATTCAAAATTTTCCTCAATAATTTTAACCAGTAATTCAAATATTATCCTTTAAATGTTGGTAGAAATCTTTTTATTTTATTAAAATACTTGTAGAAAGTGTAATAAGATAAAATTATCATTAAAAATAATGTAAACTGTCTTTTTGAAAAAAATGAAACTAACATTTATTTGAAAAAATTATGTACAAATAATGGCTTTAATGTTACTCAACTGGAAAGAGATCAGCTTGAACTCAACTAGAGATAAGCTTTAAGTAGTTATGTATGCTATATATATATATGACACAAATAGAACGGAGCACTTACACAGTGATAGACAATGACTCTGTATTTTAAAGCGGCCTACATTCTATACATTTGCTCTATATTTTTCCAAATTGTATTACTTGAATAATTTTCCGGTTAATAAGAATTTAATAATAAGAATTTTATACTTCTGATTGTCTCCCTTATTATGTAGATAAGCAAAATTTTAAATATTTTTATGATGTTAATGACACTGCTTTTCAAAATTATTAATAAAGCTACATAAATGATTTAATACGATATAAAAGTATTCTTATAAAATTAATATTTATTAGTTTCTACAAAAAAGAAAAAGAATAGTATTCATCAAATAATATACTTTATGCATATATTCTTATAATTAGTGATAATTCCGATTAAATTAAAATAATATCTATAGAATAATTATTAATGCATATGTATTTCAATAAGATATCATGATTATGTCTGTTAATAAATGTATAACTACAATTATTAATTATCAATATACTTATATAAACGTATGTGTATATTGCATTTACGGCCACTGGTATTGTGAAACTTCACTCTTTGATGAAATTTTTATTCTATTATAAATTACCAAAATACTTCTCGATTAAATCAAATTGAAAATATACAAATAGCAAATGATATCAACATAAAATTAGTTATTAAGTAAGTGAGTTCTAAATTCAAAGAAAAGATCTATAATTACAAGAGGAACTTATTTGTATGCTTTCCATGCGAGCATCTTGAAAGCAAAATATTATAGTTAAATTTCATACAAATCTAAAACTAAGCATAAACTTTTCATGTTCTAAAACTTTTTTTATTTTCTATTATCATAAATTATTTGTAAAATGAGTTTCAGATATTATACTTACGTAAATAATTGTTCTTTAAATAAAAGTAGAAATTTTACTATAATTAATATTTGTGAAAATGAAATATACCGATTTTTAACATGAAATTATGTAAAATATTAATTCTTTTATACATATGAAATTATAGTATTATGTATACAAATTCATTTTCCTACTATTAGGATTCATTAGTCTTTTAGACTTGATGAATTAATTTTTATCTCATTGCTGAATAAATAAAATAAAAATTGTCTTTTCATTCTCATAAATTGTATGAGTTAATTTTGAATATAAAAGAATAATAAATGTGTAATGCGGATAAATGTTTTTATTGTATACATGTAATACTGACATTAAAGTTCGAATTCAACTTGAACTGCTTTATCTTCGCATACATATAGAAATATCGACGCCATCCTTTCAACGTATGAACAACCATGCGGTCACTCAGCCATGTATATCTATATAAAAGACATAGGTTTAATCTTCTGTCTATAGAATTGCTGAATGTATCCAAAACTAAAAATTAACGTATATATATATATATATATATATATATATATATATATATATATATATATATACATATATATATATATATATATATATATATATACATATGTGATTAGAGATTAACATTATGGTAATTGAATTATTCATTATATCTTTACATTATAAATGACTGTACGATATTATAAAACAGCCTTTAAAATGCCATTTATTGTTAAAAGTCTGGCTGTTGTTATTATTATTATTATTATTATTATTATTATTATTATTATTATTATTAGAGAGGAGTTACATATAATAAATATACTGTTTCACAATAATTTAACTACCACAATTATGCTTTATACATTATTTGTACGAAATATACAATTTCAGTTAATAGAACAACTCCAGCTTATAAAAAAAATTATTTTTTTTTTAACTTTTAATCCTATTGCTTGTACTTTGACTTCTAATACTATTAAAAATAATTAATATTTAAATAAATTTTTAATAAAGAAAAATATATCTAAATTATCTGTATAATTATGAACGAAATTATTCAAATATTTAATTAGAATTGCATTTAATAAAAAATCATGTGTAGAATAAAATTGATACAAACAAATATACAAAATTTATACGATAGAATATTGTAATTCAAGTACTCATTATATTTTAAATAAATCATTATAATAAATTGTATAATATATTCCAAAACTTAATTTAAGCGTAGGATCTGAGAATCTGCTCCGTTTTAACTGTTTGGAAAAACTAAAACTTCCTTTTCTTTATGAAAAGTGCATTCTTTGAAGTTTTTAAAACACATATTCTTTGTAGTATTGTCTTTCTTTCCAGGCGTTTAAGATATACGAAATAAACAGTATCAGCACGATCCTTCTTGAAATTCCCTTAAAAAATATTCTCTTATATATTTTCTAATAAGCGTTTCACAATATTTAAAAACAATTGTAGAATCGTATTTATTTTCAAATATTAAAAGAAAATAAATTATGGCACTAAATCGTACGTATAAGTAAATATTTTATCTTTTATTTTTATCTGGTCGTTTATAAATAATCGTTTCAATTTATTTATTTTTATACATGCATGGATATAAGTAAACATATATTAAAAAAACTAAATGTACTTTACCAATATATTTTTTTTTCTTTTCAATTCATAAACAATTGAATATCCAAATTTCATTTATAATAAATGAAATAATTAAATAAATCACGAAACATTTATTTACTGAGTCTTCAAAGTTCATTAGAAAAACTGTTTAATAATTAAAAAGTAGCTAATTTTTTTTTTTTTAATAAATTATAAAGCGAAAAAGTGCATATAAAATTTTCAATAATATAATTGAATTTTCACTATGATAAGCCGATACTTTAATATAATAATTAAAAGAAGATAATCTTATCTAGCAAATAAGTGTTATTTTGTTAAGAAATTTAAACAAATAACTACACAAGTATTATTTTATGGATATAAAACTAATAAATAATCTTGAATTGAAAATTTTGTTTTTAACGCAACATATTAAATGATTTTATAATCTCTAAAACTTTCCCATACAGCATTCATATTCTAAAATACTTTATTTATTCTTATAAAAGTATGAAACATATATATATATATATATATATATATATATATATATATATATATATATATATAATTGGATCTTAATTAATAAAGAGGAATTGTTCTTTAGATTGAAAAGAGAAGGGCTGCAAGTGTTATTGCAGCGCAAAGAAGCCGTGAAGCAGTTGGTGAAATGAATCGCAACAGTGTCTGACAAACAGATTTTCAATCACTAATTAAATACAATGATGAACCGCGAGAATGAGGAAGTAAGTAAATATCTTTCTTAGCTAAGAATAAAACTTAAAATTGGTCTTTATTATCATGTTCGTTAGATTAGAAATTTATTTTCATAGATTTTTCTTATAAAAAAGAAAGAGTTTTTACAAAGAAACTGTTGTTTCTTAATAAATGTGTATATGTCCATTAGCAACAGTTTTAGGTTTTAATTTTTTAATATTAAAATTACAAAAGTTCGATATTATGCATTAGATATACATTAATATTATATTTGGTTGGTAGTCGTTAGCAATCATTATTATACAATTCTTGCACTGCATCAGTTACATATTTATAGTTCAAACTATAAACGGTTTTTAATAATTGTATTTTTATACGTACTTGAAAAGATTTTATTGCAAATGAAGTCGTATGTAGTATATATTGATAATAAAAGATAAGGGCGTTCATTCAGGGTATAATATTTTATGTCGTCAATTAATTCTTTGCAATATGCAAGTCAATATTTTATCATATTTTTAAATATTAAAAAGAAATGTTCGTTAATATGTTACTCATGAAATATGATAAAATGCAAGCTTATAACGTAAATGAAATATTTTCAATGCTGAATAATTGAATGATAAAAAGGTAAAATATATTAAAAATTTATTCTTGCATTAAAGATAATTATTTAAATTTAGTAAAATTTTGTAAAATTTAGTAAAATTTAGTAAAATTTTTATATGTGTGGCTTTTGAGGTTATAGAACACATGATTTTTCAGAATATAATAGATTTCTGAAATAAATAAATATTTAATTTTTTATATATTTTTTAAAAAAGTAAATCCTATTAGCATTTAAATTTTATAATTATGAAAGAAAAAAAATAAATTACAACCTCAATCGAAAATACATTGCATTCTATATTTTATAATGCATAAATTAATATAAAGCTTACATTTAATCAAATCTCCATGAGTATAATTAATAAATAATTCTAAATATCATTTTACACACAAATATTGTATATAATATATCGATTATAGTATCGATTCATAGTAGCATCAACTTTTTTAAAAATAAAATAAGGTGACTTTATTTTATTTGTTTCCTTAGGTATTAAGTTATTGGTAAAAGTCTAAGTTTAAATTACTTTAAAAGTAAATAAATAAATGACTAAAATTATAATCTTAATGCTGGTACTACTTTACAACATTATTATCGTTACAAATAATTACATGCAAATCATGTAAATTTACACATTTTCTTATAGCAATATCATAAATAATAATTTAATAATTTACTTACTTCAAATGCATGCTTCATTATAATTTCGTATTCATCTGTTGTAATTATAAAAGATTGAGTAGCTTCGTTCGAAAGTTGCAAATACCGTAGCAGTATTAGTTTCACAATTTTAAGATAAAATCAAAACTAATCTGAAAAATGCTTACGCATAAAATAGCATGAAATATATAATATTTCTGCAGCAAAAACCAATAGCCCAGACTCTTTGCGGTGCTATTCAAAAAGAAGCCAATTGCAAATGTCTGGTCCTTTCTGTATTAATCTACGGATGCCTTGCCGCTGTCACTTGGTGCAGATGTGCTAACGTAACTAAGGTAGGTATATACTGCCACTTATTCCATATCTCTCTCACTCTCACTCTCTCTCTCTCTCTCTCTCTCTCTCTCTCTCTCTCTCTGACTCTACCTCTTGCCATTTCTATTTCTCATTCTATTGAAATGCTTAACTACCGTGTTTATTCAAACATCGCCGCCCTCGATGCAATTGTAATCTACACGGTTTCAATTAAACTCGTTAGAATAAAATTACCCGGACAACCAGTAATGGTACATGACGTAATAAAATAAGATTTGAAAAATATTTATTAACTGTGTTGATTAAGAAAGATGTAATTAAAAAATAAAAACATGCAAGAAAATTCTTAAAGAATATTTTTGTATATTCCCACTAAATCCATACAGTTAAATAATTGCAAATTAATGCTTACTGTTTGTCTATTTCATTTATAATATGTTAAGGTTAATTCTAATAAAATTATAATATTGTCATAATTTATTAGACTTTCTATTGTCCATTGTATTCGTTGGAAGAACGAACGTATAAATTGTCGAAAAATAGGTTAATAAGTATTTACTGTTGAAAACAATAAATTATTATACTTTATAAAGAATTTTTATCCTGCAGATTAATAATAATTATAATTTTTGGTGCATTTTATTCGAGGGCATATTTAATTATACTTTTTTGCTTATAGAATTTTATTATTATTATATTATTCAATTGTATTTTAATAAACTGATCTGTACTTATACTCAAATAACTCAATCGCAACGATGTTTCGCGCAAAACCGTGTCGAAACAGTCGTTCCACCCAATGCCATCTATTTTTAAATTATAATCTGCCCAGATGTAACTCGTAAATTATTAAGAAAATGATCCGTTCGTTTCACACCACTATATTCTAAATATTTATAAAAAGTTGTATCATGGTGAATTTTTTTAATTGATTTTTTAATTATCTAAACTTACATAGAGGAGTTTATTAAGAATATGAATAGTAATCAATTGTATACAAGGGATACTCGATACTCGATACTCGCGTATTATTTTTACTGCCTCTTAGAGTTTTCGTGAATTTTCTCGTCACTTATCCTCCAGCAAAACATATTATTTTAATTTCGAGAAGCCTCGATATTACCTCTCCCCCCCCCTCCCCGCCCCTCCCCACCCCTCCCCCTACCGCAGTACAAATACGCAACATCATAACCTTTTTATCAAATGTATTTTCTGCACTTTCATAAACAAATTTGTATTATCATTTACAGTGCTGTAAATAAATACTCGATGTAACTGTTTGGTTTATATTTTACATTTATTCAACAATTCAACCCAATCATTTTCAACAATCACTTACAAAGTGCGATTCATTTTTAGAAACTACGATTTGTTAATGATAAACACTGCCTACTTTTTACTTATTTTAATGTTTATTCTCTTGTTAAACTCGCCTTTACAAATTCTTCATATTAATTGTTAGGGCAATAGAGAGTTTTTTCCATACATAACTTACTGTTTTTATTGTTGAACAACTCGTGAATTATTAAATAAAAATTCAGATGGTAAAAACTTTGTGATATTATGCATAAAATATATAGACATAAATTATATGTATAAAAGTTAAATTTTTATTGCAATACTAAAAAATATAAGTTACACATAAAAAGAAAAATATTATTCTTAAATATTTTTATGCTAACTAATAATTTATTAAATATTCATTATTACTTAAAATAAAAATTCCGCTTTTATATTGTAATAATAATATTAAAGCTATTGAAAGTCTCATTTCAAAACGAGGTATTTACAGAATAATAATATAGAATTACCAAATAATAGCTTAGATAGATTATAAATAATGAAATACAATACCATATTAATATTTATAAAGCAGTTAAAAATGCAAATGAAAAAACTATATTAAGTTATTTTAATTTTTTTTTTTTTTTTTATTACTAATGTTGGATTCGATTCAAATATATGAATAAAATATAGTAAATAATATTAAATTGTATATAAGAAAAAATATTTACTTGGGAACTTATATATCATCAAAATTTTTATAATTTCAGATTGTTATTAACTTTTCCAAATTTCCAATTAAGAGCACAAAACATGTCTCACCATGTGACGATGGTTATATTTACATTCCTGTAAGTACAAATAAAAATCTATTAATGTTATAAATTTGTTTAATTCATTTTGAACTGATACATTTACAAAATTTTATCGTCTATAAAATTGGAATACTAATTTGTTCACATAAATCATATTAAATGTGTTTTGATCCAAAAACATGATCACTGACTTCATGACATTTATAAAATAATATCTTTTTTTTTTATTCGAAATAATATCGTTAAAAATATATATACTAATCACAAGTTATTTTCTCTAAAATAGTGGATTTTCATATTTTATATATTTTTCAACAATTACGAATGTATTGTATGAATATATTATTATAGAATAATAATATTATTATTTATAATAGTCTGAAAATTAGTTAATCATTCACAATTATTGTGCTTTAATCGAACTTCAAACCTTTGATAATTACATAATTTAAACGTCTTTGTATAGGGTCGAAATAAAATATGAAAACTTATTTGCATAGAAAATGACAAGTGATGCATATGATAAATGTAAAAAATCTAATATCTTTTATAGTCTTCAAAATCATAAAGTAATTTTTATAATACAAATAATCTTGCAATCGATGTGGTGTGGAAGGTGTCCGAATTAAAAACTAATCCTGTCGATTTCTGAATAACTCGATTCAGAAAGAGCATGTCATATATAAAGAAACTAAAGCTGATACATATTTACTTTCTAATGAAGAGATAAGAAATTCAATCGTTCATATTGAAATGATTTTTTTATACTACATATACAATGAAACGAGAATGAAAATTATAACAAAGCAACAAAATGACAAATAAATTCAGAAAATTCATAAATCTGAAATTTTATATTCTATAATTTCTATAATCTATTTCTTATATCTATTTTTTTTTAATCAATATGTTGATAGTAAATCGGCATGTCACCTTACACTTTCATGTCTTAACTTCCTTTAGGCTTAAAATGAATATTATAAATTTGTTTCACTAAAATAAAAGTAAGCTTTACTCGAATAAATTAACATTTTTATTGTACGCAGAATTATTTAATTTTCTTTTGTAAAATTTCATACAACCTTATTATAGACTGTATTTAGTTTATATAATTATAAATATCTATCTATTCGTTAGCTTAAAATAATTTCACAACTTACTATTTACATAGTGATCGACCGCATTAATATTACCTTTTACAGGCATAATAATATTTATAATTACAATAGTAATCTTTTTAGTATGTATTTAAAATTGTCAATTACATTGTATAATTACTTTATATAAGTGCAATTAATTACTTTATTTAATTACAAAACGTATTATAAATAATATCGATAAGTTCTAATAAATATGTTGAATTATACATTTATATATGTGATTACGTATTTTTGAATATTTGCTCGAAATACAGAAGAAAACGAATCGAATTTCCCACAGGTAACCATCATAAAGGAGGTAGGTAGTATAAACTTCTTAAATTAAATTGGTTTATCTAAAATAGAAAGTCTTAAAAAATTGTATCAACATATTAAATACTTTAATCTTTAATTAAAAGTGAATTAAAGATTTTAGCGAGAACAAAACAGGATTTAAAGCTAAGGTTTTAAATTTCAGTTCGGAAAAGAACGAACGTCTTTCGTAATTAAATGAAAAATAATGATAATACACGTAAGAAATAAACTTTTTTTAGTTAGTTAAATCCTTGAACGTATAAAAGGTCTATAAAATTAACAATTAATTTAATGATACGAGAAGCTTGCGAATACTGATTGAAATTTCAATACGTTGAAAATACAATTTTGCCTCAAATATTACCTTCTAAATGCAAGTTGTATAATTTTTTAAATTTTCGACCGGATTATCCCGAAAGTTTTATAAAAGGTATATAGAAAAATGAAGGAAGCGCTGAAATGATAAACGAATATAATAAACTTTCATAAAATTAATTGCACCTAGCAGGCAAAATTATTTAATACCGAGAAAACGAATAGAAAACGCATAACATTATTAAAAAAAGGTAATAAAATAGCGGTAGCCTGTATAGTCGTCCATGAACGCAATTCAGGAAATAGCATTTATATCGTTCTTGCCCATCTCTGTGCATTGCATTGAAATACCCCATATAAGCCCAGCTATATTCTAAAGAAACCGCTAAAAGAAAAAAAAAAAAAAAAGAAAAAGAAAAAAAAAATCCATCCGTCATGCATGCACCTCACACTCCCGCCTACCCGTACGCATAGAGGGATAAAAAGAAAGAAAAGAAGAGAAAAAAAAAAAAAACGAACGTGACTATATCACGAGAGAAATACTCACGCAGGTGGCGTTCATGGGGATGCTTTACCTCGTCTATCTCGTGGAGTGCTACCATTCCCCGATTAGAATCGACCTGCTGCACGCTGAGGGTCAGGGCGGGGCGCTCGCGAAGCTAACGCAACTGCGGTTGGCCCAGCCGACCATCTGGTGGAAGGCCATCTCCTACCACTACGTGCGCAGAAAGCGCCAGATCATGCGTTACAGGAACGGCGACAACTTTACTACCACACAGGTAGGTAAACTGACGGAGCTGCCTCCCTCTCGATATTAGCTCGATCATTATCGTTTAGCTGCGGTTTATGGAACTCCATGGGGCCGTTCTAATTGTATTAGCTACTGATTCGCCTTTGTTTCGCCGATGCAACATCACTGGGATTACCTCAGATTGTAATTAAGGAGTTTGTTGAGATAATTTTTTAAACAACTAGGTGATGAGCGAGTTGATTATTTTTGTACACTGATCTTGATGAACGAGCGAGTGTTAATTACTTTTTGAAAAATTCGATCGAAGGAGGGGAAGTTAGTCGGTCCAGTGAACCATCGTTCTCAATTTTTAATGTGTCTGTAAAAAAAAAAAAAAATGTTCAACCAAATATATTCAGAAAGAATATAATACAACTCATTTGAATGTTTCGCATATTTTCAAAGTATATTAGAATTTCAATATTATTGTTACAAGGTTAAATAATGTATAAATGTATAATTTTCTTATATTTGATGCGCTCGAATGCTTTCCTCCTATTAAATTCTATGTAAAGTAAAACCATCTATACGCGTATACATAAACTGAACTTGTATTTATTTTCCATAATAGTTCAATTAAACTGTTACCACATTATCAATATTAAAAGCTTTTTAATGTACATATTTAGATATTTAGATATGTGTACATTGTACATTATTACGAAACGGACGGTTATATATTTAACTGAACGCATTTATTAAGCTATGATCGATATAAATGAAATCAATTTACAAGAATAACAATGAATTATAATATCTCATTTCATTTATTATATATAATATATATTTTATGCTTTATTATTATTACTCATACATAAGTCGTTGCACTCAAATTCTTATGAAACAGGAAGAAAATTAATTTAAATAAATTTATAGCAATAAAGGCAAAAATTATAAAAAAAAAAATAAATAAATCGAACAAATGAATAATATTTTCAAAATAATTTAAACATACGAATATTAAAATAAATTAAAAATTCATATTTTATAATTAAATAAAATGGATAGACTCGATACAAAAGGTATTTTTTCATGGATAGAATGAAAAAAAAAAAAAACATTTATTTATAACCATAAGAATAATTGTTAGAAATTATTAGAAATTATTGATAAATTTGTCATTATCAGCATTAGGATAATATTAATGCCATTACAGAAATATTTACTTGTCTAGAATCTAGGTGACCTAATTTTATAAATAAATACTTTAAAAAAACCAAAAAGAAGTTTTTAAATTTACATACGATTACTGTAATTTTTAAATTCAAATATGATTTTATTATTATATAAGAAATATTTTTTACTTAAATAAAATAAAATAAAATAATAATACTGTAGTACTTAATAAATTTAAATTATTGTCTACAATTATTGATTAAGGCTTATCCTTCTTTGTTATTGTACTAATTTCATTATTATACAAAATTAATACCTTAAATATATAAATTTTAAAGGGCGCTCAATAATTTATAATATCTTTTAAAATCGTTTTTGCGTAATCTCAGAAAGATTAAATGCGGAAAAAAAAACATGATGGACTCATGAAGCGCTACAGAAACTTGCAGTAACTTGCAGTAAAAAATCTTCACCAAACGATAAAAATTTAAAGTATCTTTTAAATTGCTTTTTCTAATATGACATTACTCCACTAAATTTATTGTACTGATATGATAATTGAAAATTTATTCGCCATTACGAGGAGTAAAAAATTTATCGAAAAACTTTATATCCAATCCAAAAATATGAAAATGATTAATAATAAAATTTGTAATTTTAATAAAGTACAACTACATAATATGAATAATTGATATGAATAATATGAATTGATCTTAATTAACGATGAATGTAAACATTCCATTAATTCATTTTCATTTTAACAATATTTAGATTAGAAAAATTTGAATTTTTTCCCTTACGAAGAATGTCTGAATTTAAGAATTTTTTCCACTATAAATCTACTTTATTAATTTTTACGTAGAAACAGTGATTGAAGCTAAAGATCTAAAAATAAAACCATAAGAATCTTTTGTTAATATTTTTATCTTTACAAAATAATGTTTAAATAAAGTTAATAAAAAACAGAATAAAAGTAATTATCGTTTTGTCTTGAATTATCTTTTTAAATACATAGCTATAGCACAATTTGGAAAAATTAAATTTTTTAAAATTATCTATAAAATTTATTTTCTAAGAGATTTTGAACTTTGAAATTCCATGAATAAAAAAGTTACTTTATAAGCTTCTCAAATAAAACTCAAACTTATAGATTTTCAGAGATTGTGTTCGTCATTCTTGAGCTCACGTACACCTCAAGATTAATCAATTAATGTCATTTTATGCATTGTAGACTTGCATTGTTTAATATAAAATAATCAAATATACGTTTTAGTATGAAGATTTCATTTATAAAATATATGTTTTAATTGAAGTTCAAATGCAATCAATTTAAAATATCTTTCATACGTGTCTAATCATATACACGTATGATTGCATATGGACTTATGCATTGTTATTAATTATATATTTCGTTAGTTTATCTGAATATTTATTATATTTTCAAATATTCAAAGTAGTAAAAGTTTTTACTACATATTACACTTTGTGTTTCATTATATTTAAAAAATTTTATTTAAGAAATTATAGTTTTTAATATTTTCACACTTTTCTTTATGAAGCTAGAAATCACTGACTAACTGATCCCTAGAGATATAAAAAAAAATCCATGGTATAATTTAAATTATAATTTTTAATTTAAGAAATAAACAAAAATCCTCTAAATATAAAAACAATTGTTATTTAAAACTAATAATTAAAATATCAAGTATATAATTTATCATAGATAAAATTAAAAGTATTTTTCAGTTTCTTAATTATGCAACGGCAGTTTAATTATCAATTGAAAGTCATGAAAAAATTTTTTTAACGTAATATTCTTCCATGAGAAAAGCTAAAGTCGAGCGTCAAATATTTTTCATATTATTAGTAATTTTTTAATCGCTTAATCTACAAGGTAAATTGATTTTCAATACTGAAATTCTTTTACATTAGTTAATTTCTCTTGACACGTTTGATAATTAACAAATTCATAAATTTTTTATGATTTTTGAATTTCAGCCTAATTTATTTAATTCTTAGTGTCATTCGAGAACTTTGTATATTTAAACGTACTAGACAAGTATTCTGATAAGTCATTTGTGGCTCGTTACATCGATGCTACATCGAGCTAATTTCGATATTCTGAAGAAAAATTTACATTCAAAATTATAAGGTCATTCAATACAACTAACCTACTAATTATAATAATGATAATAATAATATATTGAACAGTATATTATCCAAATATTACGTACATTGATTAAATGCCTATTACTATTACTTTTAGACTATTTATTAGAGTAGCAAATTATCATTAGGTGAACAAACATAACTTTCATTATATACTTCAGTAAAATTTCTATGTATTAACCATATGAATATAATCGATTGTTTATATATTTGTAAAAACAATTTGTAAATTAAGTTGGAGAAATGTGGAATTGTTTATAAATTAAAAAAAAAATTCGAATATTTGCCGTCATGTAATCTCATTTGGTTCATTGAAAAAATCAATATATCGATGTAGAAAATTATCTAGAATATAGAAGTAGAAAGCCAATCGACAAAATAGTCAGCAAATGTGACTTTATTGTGTATTTGCATTTGCCGACATAGAGAATATAATCAAATTCTTATGATAATATCAGTGCACTTTGTTGCCATAAGTACCTAAATGTAAAATCCTTTCACTCAATTTCAGCTTTTACTGGAGGAAAAGACATAATATTTTCAATAAATTCTTGTTAAGCAATATAAAGATATTGTTAACATTAATTTGTTCATATCCAGTACGCTTGTAGGTCATAGAAGAATATGACTAGGAAATTATACATTTTTTTTCTTTTATCTTTCAAGTATTAAATACGAAGTTATTTGATTTATAATAAAATCAATTATTTATATAGACTTTGAAATACATTTATTAAATGCAACAATCGTAGATTTCAAAAAATTTTCGTGTCCTTTATCTTTTTGTTACTTATCTCTTACATAAATCTTGAAAATTCTTCGTCGTTATTTAATGCTACAAATTATAATTGAAAAAATTTATGAAAAATATATTATAAAATAAGCATAAGAATATATATATATATATATATATATATAGTTAAAGGATATTTTAAGCCTTTAAGGAAGGATTTTTATAAGATTTTAACACGAAATTTAACAGTTTCAATAAGCTTGAATTTATCGAAGCCAGAAATAGAAATATTCATTTATCTTTTATAGCGTGAAATAAAACTGTTAAAAAAAAAAAAAAAATAATTCAACTTCATTATAACTTACTCTTTGGAATAACGATAAATATAGCTTTTACTAAATATTTATTGATGTAGACGATACATATTTGAAATAAAGAAGTTCTTGATATTAAGCGACGACATTGTTTATCGATAAAAACCGACGAGATGAAATGCTTGAAAGCCTTATAAAATCTCATCTTCTCAATTTCAAACTTTTCAAATCAAGCAGCTATTTAAAGTGAAACGCGTCTGATTCGATATTATAAAAAATATTTAAAGTGCCGACGAAAGTATTGAACTATGCTCAACTTCACTGGCATTAATAAATAAATTTATAGCGACGAAAATTCGTTATCGACCTTAAAAAAAATTATCGCACCAAATATCATTCCCATCACCTACTCTGCTCGGATGTTCCGCTAAATGAAAAATGAATAAAATAGTTAAAGGGGGCAGATGTCTCGTCATATAGATTTGGAGAGACGTAAGGAACGGGCAGCTATAAGCCAGAGGATAAGTAACCGATATTGGAGTCGCGCAATTCATAAAATTTCCTCTTAATAAGCAGACGTGCACGCGGCAGCCTCGCACACTCCTCCGCAAACCGTCGCTTCGGCTCGCCGAGGCTCATGGGGCATCGATCACGTGGTGCTGCCGCGAGGGGGTGAGTCTACGAAACTCCCCTCGTGCCCCTCGGCTGCATGCGCGCGGCGTCTCGCCATCCACTATTAATTATTTACACGCGGATTAACGCGAGAAACTTGGATACGCTCGCGCGAGCGCACACGTATTTTTACTCTCTCTCTCTCTCTCTCTCTCTCTCTCTCTCTCTCT